AAGTGATCTGCCACCAGGTTTACTGTAATATTATCGTTTGATTTCTATCGGTTTGTATCTCTATTTGTGAAATTTGATTATAACATCTCTGATCTTATACTTATTTTCTGAATTTTATTTTGGGATATATATATGCATATATCAAACTCCCTATTATATATAATAATATGGATATTATATATATTGTTTGCTTCTCCATTATTGTTTTTCTTTAACTTGATAGGTATACCACAACAGCAGATAACATTGTTGTTTGTTAGATACATTCTACCTAAAGCTCTTTCTCCTATTTTGAGGCAATATATTTCTTGTTACTTTATCTGTGGCCCTGTGATTTGTTAGTTTGCTCAAACTGGCTTATAAGAACAGACATACAATTCCTGGAAACTTGTGAACACCAGACACAGTTTCCTTTAACTGTATCAGATCTACTGTTCCTCAGTCTCAGGTTGTTTCCCAGCATGCCTATGCTGTTGGCTTCTCTGAGGTGTGTTCCCAGTGGCCCTCTGAAGATCTGCAGAGTACTTCCTCTTCATTGCTCCTTCCCCTCCTGTGTCTGTCCAGTGATCTCTGTCTGCCTTGCTTTTACCTAGACGGCTTTACCACTTCAGCTTTGGGAGTCTGGTAGACTCTGCAAAACTTTCTTCTCTTTGTGTCCAGCCTGTATGTTACCTTGCGTCAGGGAAGTAGGAATTTGAATATGTCAATAAATTACTTATCTGGCTATTAGGGATGATTTTTCTTCTGTGCTTGAAGTGCAAAGTCTTAAGTGATAGCAGGGTAAGTGTCTTGTCATTTTTAATCCAAGGATTTTATTATGTGTTCACTTTGTAGATCTTGAGAATACATTTATGGAGAGTATAAAATATCCAGGATATGAAAATTTGACATGTTTTATAAACCAAAACAAGTGTGTATTTTATTTGTTACTTTCCTGATACAGATTCTGAAAGTATAAATGTAGTCTGTTCAGAAATCCATTCATATAAAATGCCAGTGGAGCATCAAAAGCACGTATATAAACTATTCAGAGAAGAGTCTGAAGAGGTGGGAAATGATCTTAGTGAACAACAGAAGGAGAAGGATGTCTCAGCATCAGAAGAAGGAGAATCGCAGTTAAAGCCTGACAATGCTAAATTACAGCTATCCAGTCAGAGGTATGATATACCACTTTCAGAGAAATATTTTTACTGTCCACGTTGTATGATATATGTAGGAGAATCTTTGTAATTTGTCTCTGCTTTCTGAATAGTTTTGCTGAGGAAAATACTTCTTGATTTTTTGACAGATCCCATTATGTAGCCCAGGGAAAGCCCATGCTCGTGGTCTTTGGGCTTCAGCCTCTTTTTGATATTATGTGTGTGAGTGTGGTTTGCTTCCATGTATGTAAGTACTTCCATGTATGTAAGTACTTGCATGTATGTAAGTGAATCCTTGTGTACAACACCCATGGAAGCCAGAAATGGTGCGAGATTGCCTGGAACTGGAGGTGTGGTCGGTTGTTAACCACCACGTCTGTGCTAGGTACCAAACCAGGGTTCTCTGCAAGGGCAGCCCTTGCTCTTAACTGATGAGCCATCACTCCAGACACAAAATTTCAGCCTCCTGATTGTTGGATGGTAAATTAAACGCGCCCATTTTCAGTTTATAGGATTGTTAGTATTGTAGAGCATGAAATTCATGTAAATAACAATAGTAGCTAACTATGAATACTACCCATAACTAAATATGTGTTCTTTTACATCGCAGTTTTAATGGCTATATAAAAATGTCAGTGTTTGTGAAATAACAAATACATGTATTAATGATATTATAAAAGTTATGCTACAAGGAACATCATTATAGATACCTATTTCTACTTATTGAGTGTTTTAATTTAATAAGTTCTTCAATGTAGAATGTTTCTGGTTAAAGGGAGGAAATTTTATGTAAGAATTTGATCGATATTTTAATTATTTTCTGAACAAAATTTTACATAGTTCAGAATCCTAGCAAGAGACTATTTAATGATTTTTTTGACCTAGACAAAACAGAAAAATTATTTTTGATACTGTGTATTGACCCTAGAATTTTATTTTTCTTCTGTGCTTGAAGTGCACAGTCTTAAGTGATAGCAGGGTAAGTGTCTTGTCATTTTTAATCCAAGGATCTTATTATGTGTCCACTTTGTAGATCCTGAGAATACATTTATGGAGAGTATAAAATATCCAGTATATGAAAAGTTGACATGTTTTATAAACCATAAACAAGTGTGTATTTTGTTACTTTCCTGATACAGATTCTGAAAGTCTAAATGTAGTCTGTTCAGAAATCCATTCATATAAAATGCCAGTGGAGCATCAAAAGCACGTATATAAACTATTCAGAGAAGAGTCTGAAGAGGTGGGAAATGATCTTAGTGAACAACAGAAGGAGAAGGATCTCTCAGCATCAGAAGAAGGAGAATCGCAGTTAAAGCCTGACAATGCTAAATTACAGCTATCCAGTCAGAGGTATGATATACCACTTTCAGAGAAATATTTTTACTGTCCACGTTGTATGATATATGTAGGAGAATCTTTGTAATTTGTCTCTGCTTTCTGAATAGTTTTGCTGAGGAAAATACTTCTTGATTTTTTGACAGATCCCATTATGTAGCCCAGGGAAAGCCCATGCTCGTGGTCTTTGGGCTTCAGCCTCTTTTTGATATTATGTGTGTGAGTGTGGTTTGCTTCCATATATGTAAGTACTTCCATGTATGTAAGTACTTGCATGTATGTAAGTGAATCCTTGTGTACAACACCCATGGAAGCCAGAAATGGTGCGAGATTGCCTGGAACTGGAGGTGTGGTCGGTTGTTAACCACCACGTCTGTGCTAGGTACCAAACCAGGGTTCTCTGCAAGGGCAGCCCTTGCTCTTAACTGATGAGCCATCACTCCAGACCCCAAATTTCAGCCTCCTGATTGTTGGATGGTAAATTAAACGCGCCCATTTTCAGTTTAGAAGATTGTTAGTATTGTAGAGCATGAATTTCATGTAAATAACAATAGTAGCTAACTATGAATACTACCCATAGCTAAATATGTGTTCTTTCACATCGCAGTTTTAATGCTATATGAAAATGTCAGTTTGTGAAATAACAAATATGTGTATTAATGATATTATAAAAATTATACTACAAGGAACATCATTATAGATACCTATTTCTACTTATTGAGTGTTTTAATTTAATAAGTTCTTCAATGTAGAATGTTTTTGGTTAAAGGGAGGAAATTTTATATAAGAATTTG